TCCTCTCTCTCTCTCTCTCTCTCTCTCTCCTCTTCTCTCACTCTCTCTCTCTCTCTTCTCTCTCTCTCGTCTCCTCTCTCTCTCTCGTCTCTCTCCTCTCTCGCTCTTCTCCTCTCTCTCTCTCTCTCTCTCTCTCTCTCTCTCTTCTCTCTCCTCTCTCCTGTCTCTGTCTCCATCTCTCTCTCTCTCTCTCCTCTCTCTCTCTCTCTCGCTCTCTTCATCTCTCTGTTCTCTGCTCTTCTCTCTCTCTCTCTTCTCTTCTCTCTCTCTCTCTCTCTCGCTCTCTACTCTCTCTCTCTCTCTCTCTCTACTTCTGCTCTCTCTCTGCTCCCACCATGAGACAGCCAGCACCGCGTTCGTCCTCCTCGCCCCTCGTCCACCTCCCCCTCGTCCTCCTCATTCAACCTCCTCCTCCTCCTTCTCCCCTTCTCCCTCCTCATCCAGAATCTTCCTCCTCCCACGCTCCCTCCTCCCTCTCAATTCACCTTCCTCCTCTCCTCCACCTCTCCTCTCTCATCCTCCCTCCCCTGCCTCGTCCTCCTCATCACTGCTCTCCTCCCTCCTCCTCCTCCCCCCCTCTTCCTCCGTCCTCCTCGCCTTTCCCCTCTTCCTCCTCATGCCACCTCCTCCCTCATCATCCTCCCTCCTCATCCTCCCTCCTCCCTCCTCCCTCCTCATCCTCCCTCCTCCCTCCTCCTCCCTCCTCCTCCTCCCTCCTCCTCCCTCGCCCTGACCCTACCTGCCTACCAGTCACCCGTTGTAATGCTAAAACTCTTGCTCTGTGTTGTTTGTTCCGTACAGGAATACCATTGCAAAGAGTTAAGGAGGAGAAGCAGGAGGAGGTGGTGCAGTAGCAGCAGCAGCAACAGCAGTAACAACAGCAACAGCAGCAGGGAAAGGAGGAGCAGCTGTAGCAGTGCGAGAAGGAAGAGGAGCTAAAGAAGAGAGGACGAGAAAAAGGAAAAGGGAAAGAGCTGGTTGAGTGGGAAGAGAAGGATAAGCAGGCGAAGGGAAGGGATGAGGAGGAGGGAGGAGGAGGAAGAGGAGCAGCAGCAGCAGCAGGAGGATGAGGAGGAGGAGGAGGAGGAGGAGGAGGAGGAGGAGGAAGGGGAGAAACAGCAGCAGGAAGATGAGGAGGGTCATCGTGATAAGAAACAGCTGTCCTGCTTTGCGGTGATTCCCGCCTTTTTGTCGCATCGCGAGTAATTGGACGAGGAGTAAGGAGACCCGGCGGGTGGCGGCGGGAGAATGCCACACGCACGAGGAGACCCGGCGGGAGCAGCGGGAATGCAGACGGCCGTGCTCTCCCTCCACCCCTGCCATGCCCCGTGGGTCACGTGATCGTGCACTGTCAGACGTAATAAGCAAACGGCGACCGCATCGGAACATTTATTTGCAGACGGTTTGCAGTTTTTTTAGAATAATGTCGACGAATTCAAATATTTAACCTCGTTTCTGCCGTCAGGCAATCCTGTTATAAGATTTTGCTATATTGGCACGTGCCACGCTCGGAAATAACTGTTTCGCGCGGAAAGAAGCGTTTTGGAAGGTTGGCGAGATTTAGAGGTGGCGCGATTATAGTTGTTTCTGCTTCAGGACTGCTGGTGGGGAGGGCAGTAGTAGTGGTAGGGTGCGTGTAGCGGGGGGCGGGGGAGTGTGCGTAGCAGGGGTGGGGGAGCGTGTGTGTGTGTGTGGCTGTGTGAGAACACAGCTGCTGCGTGTGTGAGAATCAAATGATCGAATGTAATAAAAAAAACGTTAGTGTGTCGACTTCATAATTGTTGTTGTTGTTATTGATGTTTTGGTTGGTTGGCAGTGGAGGCATTGGCTGCAGGTAAGGGGCCGGAGTTATCATAAGGTAACACCAGGGGGCGCAGTCCTCGAGAGTAACACCAAGATTCAAGATTTTTATTTTTGCTAAACGAGGATAATCAAACAGTTATAACTTTGTTAATATAAAGCACGCGTATGGCGAAAGGACCTTGCGGTCATCGAGTCAGCAATACACTATATTTACAGTAAATATTGCTTTCCAAGACACGATATTGAATGATATTTACAATACTTGCCGTGATACCAGTGAGGAATTTATCATATGAGTAACAGCAGGCAGTGAATTTATCATAAGAGTAACACCAAGCAGTGAATTTATCATAAGAGTAACAGAGTAATTTCACAGATGACTAACGGCGGGCTGCATGCATGCTTCTCATTATATTAACACCATGGGCGTGTTCTACATGGCAGTAACGCCAGTGGGCGTGTTGTCCTGTCGCGGTGTCTATTCATACTGTCACGTGTGTTGCGGTCAGTCTGCCATCGGCGTCACGGCCACTAATCACGGAGTCAACACGCCAGCTGACTGATTAGTTCAATTTTACCTGTGCGTGCTTATCTCTATCTACTTGTACAGGTAGTCATGCATATCTTTAGCAGGTGCGTGTGTACGTGTCTCTATCTACCTGTATAGGTCGTCATGGATATCATTTGCAGGTGCGCT